TAGGGCTGGGTTGGGTAAGCATTCCCTCAAGCTTCACAGATGCTGTTAGCAGGGGTCAAATGTCTGTTCCCTGTTTCTGGGCAAAGCTGCCAGGGTGGGGCTAAAATGGCCCCACTCAACCAAAAAGTCTGCACGTGGGGATAGGGCTGTCTGAGACCCAAAGTCTGGAGTAGGGGAGGGGTTGGGGAGGAAAGGAGTCTGAATGGAAGAAAGCTGGCACTCCAGCCCTCTGGTCTGTCTCCCTGGCAGGAATCCCACACAAAATGTCCAAGCTCTGGGATCACACAAATTCTCTGGGGCCCACTACAATCTGGGCAGGATTTGAGAACCATCTGTGTGGGAACACAGAAGGGCTAGAGCTCCCTGGGGTGGGCAAAGCGATGTTTTGGGTAGAGAAGCAGTATGTCATCTGCTATCTCAGCATGGCCATGAGGAGCGACCCTGAACTGGCTGGAAGCCTGATGCTTTATTTTCAAGAAATTCCCAGTTTAGTGGTGGCAGTGGCCTGTTGGGAACTTATTCTGGTGTTATGCCTTATACTAATCATTCACTATAGCCTGTAATGTACGTGTGCTTCCTGACGCAGCGGTAGTCGCATTTTCTTCAGACATGATTGCTGCCTTGTGACATGATAAGAGGCCTGAGTTTCTGCACGTAAGCAAATGTTGCCTAGCTCCCACACGGCCCCCGTGGTGGGAGTCTGGAGGCCATAAGGATAAAAAGAACTTTCCCAAGGACTGGCCCCCATTTGATGGTTGGTAGTCAATGACAGGTAAGACTCCTCAAGGGAGGGGCGACCTAAGACAGACACAACTGTGGGGGCCAGGGAGGAGCTGTCAGCTGGGAAAGAGAACAAGAAGTACTTCAAATTGCTGCATTGCTTTATGTTGCTTATCTCGGCATTGGCTTTTGAGCTATGTCTGGCGCCTTAAGTAACCATTTTGAGGTCTGAGAGCATGGGACCATTGTTCCCTTGTGATACAACTCCGGACTTAATGGTTATCGCTGCTATGCTCAGATGCTCACATACAAGGAACTAACCTTGGGTCTGTGGGGTATAAAAATAAAGCAACCGGTGCATTGGACACTTGAGTCATTTCATGTCCGTGTGCATCTGTGTCATTATTTTATGTTCTGTGTCCATCCCCCGTCCTGTAATCGGGCCACGTCAGCGGCCCTTGGGCTCATGAGGGTGGAAAAACTCCCCAGAAGCTCAGTGATACACTGACTGCTGGAGGTGTGAGGGAAGGGGAAACGAAATCCCCATATACCCTCTTTGCCAGACTCCAAGGCTCTCCAGGGTTGATCTCTGCTAGCATCTTTTTTCTTCCTTTTGTTTCTTGAAACTTGTTCCCATGAAATTACCAGCAGGTTCTGATACTTTCCCCCTGGACTGCAGCTGAGCTGCTCCTTCATCCCATCTCCCTTATCCAAAACCTTCCTTCCCTCTGGGATGATCTGGTAGCCCATGTTTCTAGTCAGCCATCTTCGACCCTCCCCTCTGCGATTGCCCTTGGATGTGTGTTGTTGTTTGTGCATTGAAGTATTATGTCTTTACTACAGTCTTCGCTGTTTGGTTTTGTTTGTGCCCATCTTTCTATAGTATGTCTGTTTTTCAGATCCTGTGTAGATTGACTATTGTTTCCTTAGTTGGAAATTAATGCCTCCTTTTGACACTAGATGGTGCCCAAACACCAGGTTCATTGCTGGGTTTGTGAGGCCTCCAGGGTTGAGTTCCTCGACACAGATAAACCTGGGACCTGGGGGATACTTGGGCTGTATGAGGAAGCTGACTAGAGATTTGACATATTTTGGATCACACATTAGCATGGAGACATCAAGACGGCTGTGTTTGTGTGAATCTTGACTGGGAAGGTTTTGAATAGATCAATACATGTATAAATCATGACAATGTAGACTATTTAAAGACAAGGTAGTCCGGGCGCGGTGGCTCACACCCGAAATCCTAGCACTCTGGGAGGCTGAGGCGGCCGATTGCTCGAGGTCAGGAGTTCGAAACCAGCCTGAGCAAGAGCGAGACCCTGTCTCTACTATAAATAGAAAGAAATTAATTGGTCAACTAATATATAGAGAAAAAAGTAGCCAGGCATGGTGGCGCATGCCTGTAGTCCCAGCTACTCAGGAGACTGAGGCAGGAGGATCGCTAGAACCCAGGAGTTTGAGGTTGCTGTGAGCTAGGCTGGTGCCACGGCACTGATTCTAGCCTGAGCAACAAAGTGAGACTCTGTATCAATAAAATAAAATAAAATAAAGACAAGGTACTAGACAAAATCAGTAAGATTATGAGTAGCTGAAGAAAAACAGTGGGCCAAGAACTATGTCTTTGGTCAAGACTAAAGCTGAAAAGTTTGGGAGAAAGTCACATACCAGCAAGAGATAGAAAAGGAAAGCATAGGTCAAAAACAAAATAAATTACAGGAGAATGTGGTGAGCTGGAATAGAAATGATAGAAGCATTTGATGAAGGGAGAGGGAAAGACTATCAAATGGAGCCAATAGAGCAATGTTAGAGGGGTCTTTTGGGGAGAATGGCAATGTTCCAAATGTTTTGGGTAGTGGTGATGATGGTTGCACAGCTCTGAACATTTTAAAACAATTAATGAATGATATATTAAATGAATAAATTAAGGACATAGGAATTAAACTGTATTAAAACTATTTTATTTATTTATTCTTTTGAGACAGAGTCTCACTGTGTTGCCCAGGCTAGAGTGCTGTGGCATCAGCCTAGCTCACAGCAACCTCAAACTCCTAGGCTTAAGGGATCCTCCTGCCTCAGCCTCCCAAGTAGCTGGGACTACAGGAATGTGCCACCATGCCCGGCTAATTTTTTCTATATATATATCAGTTGGCCAATTAATTTCTTTCTATTTATAGTAGAGACGGGGTCTTGCTCTTGCTCAGGCTGGTTTCGAACTCCTGACCTCAAGCAATCCGCCCGCCTCGGCCTCCCAGAGTGCTAGGATTACAGGTGTGAGCCACCGCATCTGGCCTAAAACTATTTTAAATAATGAACTATCATACACTTCCCTAGTAATAGTAGGTATGCACTCAGGAGAGCTAACAATTTAAGTTTATGAAAAGGATACATGCATGAATATTTATTATTCATTTCCTAATTTGCAAAACTGAAACAAACCAAATACTCATTAATAAAAAAACTAGTAAATAATTTGTGAGTATATCATACAGTGTCAAATTACTTATCCATTCAAACAGAATGATCTGCTTATTTGTGAAAAGATATGTCTGAATATGTAAAACCTTATTTGGACCAAAAAGGAAGACATCAAAATACACATTGTGTGAAAGAGTTCATTTTTATGAAATTGAAAACTGGAGAAACTGATATATGTTAATAGAAATGAAAACAGACATGGCCTATGGTGAAGTGGGTGGCTGTTACAAGTTAACACAGGGGCTAATTTCTTTGTTAAGGAGAATGATCCATAGTTTGGCAGAGTTGTTAGATGCTGTGGGGGATATGAAGTTTTAAAAATGTGTAATGCCATACATTTAAGATTGACATACTTCCCTAACATTTCATATTACATTCATATAAGAACAATAAGAAAGAGGGAAAGAAGAATGACCATGATACAGTAATTGAGATGAGTGTATTTTACTTGCAATTCCTCCTTCAAGCAAATCCATATAACTGGCCAATCCAGGATGCCCTTTGCTGGTTGGGTTCCAAGAAGAATGTTCCAATGTTTCCCAGGGATTGTTGTGGCTATGTGGTCCATGGTTACCACGAGGAGGTCTGTAATGGCTTCAGGGCTATGGAGAGACTGTGATTCTCTGTGAAGTCTGGGTTTAGGTATGTCCTGGGGGAGCTGTATGGTCATTATCCACAGCCTCCTGGTGAGAGACTGGTGTGTTTTTGTGTTAAATTTATATAGCCAATATGCATTCCATATAGAAATGTCTAGTAAGTGAAAAAAGAATCTCTGTACCATATCAGCATTTTTCTTGTGGATGAAACCGTATTTATAATTCTGTCACTTTTATCAACTATACATATTGATTTGCTATAGTCTATAATACATGAAGGCTTTTGAATATTTTCACCCGTTTGATAATTTTTCTTTTCACAGTCCTTATATTCAGCCAAATGACTTGTGGACAACACCCAAACTTCACGTTTGTCCTGCCATTTCAGAGTGAGCAAATTTCCTGATGATCTAAAACTAAGTTCTCCTTTTGCTAATTTTTCTGGCATTTTTGGCATACCTTCCCGTCACTTTTTTCCTGTCCCACATGCTTTTGTTGCAAAGCTGTCCAAATATCAGAATAATGCAGGATTTGAATGCCAATTATCAATGAATAATTGATGATCCTTTCCTAAATAAGGTTGCATCAATGTTACCACAATATTGCCACTTTTACCTAATTTTTTGGAAAATGTTTGTACTTCGGTAGTTAAGCCAGTATAAACAATTATATCCAAAATGTATCCTGTTAAACAATTGCACAGCACAAATGATTTTATCCACCTACTTCCCTTGGATGGTATATATTGTTTGAAAAATAATCTTTCTTTAAAAAGTAAGAGACTCTCATCAATGCATAAAATCCTGAATGGATAAAATGATTTTTTGAATGTTTCACGCAGCTTATAAAAAAAAAGGTTCACGAATTTTTGTCAGTCTTCTGAACTTTCAGATTCTTTATTGCTGAAACAAAGCATCTTTAGCAAAATTATATATCTATCTTGTGATATATGTTTATTGAATATATCCGTTCTAAGTACTTCATTAGTACGCCAATATTCTTTAATGGACAGTTTTTTCATACGAGACATTATGAGGGTTAGTGGAAGGAAAGTATACAGTTCATTTATTGTTGTGTTGGACCAATTTTGTAATGAAGGAGATATGTCGCCATGTGCAACTGTATATGGATAGTAACTGTCAAATTTACAATATCTGTCATTAAATTCTTGGAAAAGAATATTTTGAAATAATCCAAAACATTGAATGAATCATTAATATTTTCTGCTTTAATTCCACTGTCTTCATCAACAAATGTGTATATGTGTGGATACAAGTTTTCACACGACCACGTATTCATTACAGAATTTTCTTTTTTCCTCTTTAATTCTTCTGCTTCTGAATCCGACGATAAAATTATTTCCCTCCTCCTTTTTGAAGTAACGTTTTTACGTTTCAAAACGATGCTGCCTTCATTTGACGTGTCAGAATCCATTATGGGTCTCAGAATCATAAAAACTAAGATGTAACATAAAAAATAAAAACAGAAAAATCTTGTAAAATAGGTAAATTATATTATTACTTACACGAATCAAAAGCGTACTATAATAATTCCTACTAAGGACTTGTTAAAAGGTCACAGATTCGTAGTAACTTATTAGCTGAAATACACGCTGCAACTGCAGAGATAAAAGCTGTAAAAGTAAAAGCTTTTGGCTGTCGGCTAAAGCTGACGCTGGGCTGTGCGTGTTCATCTGTGGCTATCAACTATAGTCGATGCTCGTATTGAAGTGGTCAATATAGTGATATAATAAGTTTCATTGACTACTTTTTTTTTCTTTGAATTGAGACAGGGACTCTATTGTCCAGGCTAGAGTGCAGTGGCACCATCTTGGCTCACTGCATCCCCCACCTCCCAGGCTCAAGTGATCTTCCTGCCTTGGCCTCTTAAAGTGCTGGGATTACAGGTGTGAGCCACCACGCCTGGCCTGCTTTATTTCTTAATATCAAAATAAACTCTACTTAATAGTAATGCATTATTCCCTTCAAATATTGCTAGATTCCATTTGCCAATATTTTAGATATAATCTTGCTTTTATACTCATAATGAAAAGTGATCTATGGTTGTATATATATGATTTTATAATATTTAATTGTGGTTATGTCGGCTTTAAAAATATAAAATGGAATTAATAACTGTCATTTTCAATGGTCCATAACAGTTTAGATAACATTGTAATTATCTGTTGCTTAAAGATTAAATTATCTGTAATACATTTGTTTCTAATATTTGACTTGAGAATTGTTGTTTCTACCACAATTCTCACCTCATTTCTTTTATAATAGTCCAGCTTATTTCTTTCTACTTCTTGGGTCAATTTTGGTAACACATTTTTCTAGGATGTCATTCATCTCATCTCCTACCATAAAGTTACACAAATTTGTCTTTTAAAACTCTTTATTGTTTGTTATGTCTTTCTCATTCCTTAATCTTGTATACAGTTATGCACCACATAATGACATTTTAGTCAATGACATATAACCTTATGAGACCACATAAAAGACAGTGGTTACCTAAGGTTACAATGGAGCTGGAAAATTCCTATGGCCTAGTGATGTTCCAGCTGCCATAGCACAAGTCACTCATGTGTTGTGGTAGGCAGAGTGGTAGCCTGCCTGAGCAGACTGTAGCTGGCATGGCTAAGGAGGGGGACTTCCAGTTCCAATATCAGCTATCAGTAGCTTGGGGCAGAGTCCCTACTTCAAGTTCCTGGGCACTGTCCACCTGGGTAAGTGGGGCCTCCTGGTGACAGCACTTCGGGCTGCCCACTGGCCCTGAATCACTCAGACCCAGAAGTGTGGCTCAGTGTTGCCTGAGGCCAGAGTGACCTTGTGGAACATCTCTTTATGGGAGTTGGGGGTTGCCAGGGTCCTGCTTATGGTGGAACCTTCTCAGTTGGAAGGAGAGGGGTCCCCAAGACAGGTAGAGGGGACACTGACACCAGTTCCCTGTGAGGCTGCCTGTCTCTAGCAGCCAGGGGTCCGGGCTTCAGAGATGCCCCACCCTGGTGGGATTCTGAGATCCCAGAGGGGATCTCTGGGTGGCTGTTGCTTGTCCCTTGTCCTGGATATGCCTGACTTGAGCTTGGGTGTCTTTGTGCATGCTGGCCAGGGTTCCTGGAGAACGGGGCATTTGTGTCCAGGCTCTGGAGTAAGAGGAGGGAAAGGTAGAGACCCTTTGCACATACCCTGCTCCCTGGCCATGGCTCCTGCTTGACGCCACCTCCTCTGCAGCCCACCAGCTGGCCATGAGGATGCCCCTGAAGGAGGTGGAGGTGGTGAAGGATGGCAATATCACCTTCTCCGTGTACCTCATGGTGGCCTCAGCAGGTAAGTGGTTCCTGGATGGGCAGGCCCTGTGGCCAGCACTGTGGATGTGATCTGCTGGGACCACACCCAGCACTTGCTCACCACCTGGGAGGTGCTGGTCAGCCTTCATGGGGGGCAGCTCAAGTTCATGGCTAACATCACTGAGAGCAGCATCCCGCAGTCAAATGGCTGATTCATACACAAAGCAGAAAATACCGTGCTGTCTGCTCTAGTTGGTTCCTGTAAAGTGAGGAAACATTTGAAAACCTGAACATTCTTTTCATCTTGACTTTAACGACAGACCATGGCTGTGGAAGGCATACCTTGTGGACCGGAGGGAGGTTGGGGAAAGAGAGAGAAAGTGTGCCAGGCTACCAGTTCATCTTGGCAATTTCTCAGAGGCATGTTGTGCCACCCTCCTGGTCCTTGCCTGGGAGAGGCCGGGCATCGTGCCCCCGTGCTTGACCACACCTGGACACCTGGTCCATGGAGGATCCCTGTGGCAGAGCCTTGGTTGTCTAGGATCCAGAGCCTGTTAGCAAAGAAGTAGGATTTGCACACCTAATGTGGCAGGGTCCCTGCCTGTGCACCCCTCCCTGTCTCTCCCCAGTGCCCACGGTAGGGTTTGCCAAACATCAGCCAGCTCGCAGGGAGGTGCAGGCTGAGGCGGGGGCCAATGCCACGCTGAGCTGCAAGGTGTCCCAGCCACAGACTGAGGTGATGAGGTGCGAGGACGAGAAGCAGCTGAGTGCGGAGGTGCACATGGAGGCCTCGGGCCGCACATGGCGGCTGGTGGTGCAGCAGGCAGGCAAGACGGACAGCTGTGAAGCCATGGGCCAGAGGGTCTCCTTCTGCCTGGATGCTGCAGATCAGTTTATCTTGCAGACATTGGGCCATCTCATGGGAACAGCCCTGGGGAAAGCATTTCAGTGTGGCCTGGGACAGTGTTTGGCTACTTCATGGGTTCCTATGTCAGCTAGTTTTCTGTTGCTGTGTAAGAAATCACTCTAAAATGTAAGAGACCCAAGAGAACCATCAATTTACTTGTCACAATTCTGCAGGTTGGGAATTTAGGCAGGGCTCAGTTCTCCACATGGCGTTGACTGGGGTTGGGGATCCAACCTGGGCCCATTGGTGCACTTGACATCCCAGTTGGAGTCACTCCCATGGACAGGGACTGGCAGGGGTGATGATGGTCTTTTCTCTTCCTGTGACACTGGCTCTCCTCACTTTTGTGTCTGCGACCTTGTTCTTTCATCTGTGGTTGCTCTCTTCTCAGACCTTTTTCCGTGGTGGCTGGATGTCTCCCGTAGGGAGTAGTAAAACTACAAGGCTTGTTAAGCTCTGTTTGCAGGAGTCTCAGAATGTATCTTTCTCTATGTTCTGCTCAAAGCTAAGCAAAAGAGAAGCCTTGCTCCAAGGATGTAGAGAAATGGACACCACTGTTGATGAGGGAGTGGCCTATCCTGTTCTAGAGGGATTTTTTTTTTTGGATGCAGGGAGGGACTCATCAGGGACCTTCTGAACAATCTGTAAAAAGGAGAAAGGCTCTGTCTAGCTTTCTGCCACCCTGAGCATGTTACCTTTTTCTTTCTAATGCCTATTGCTTCATGTTCACAAGATGGCTCCTACAGCTCCAGCCATCAAGGTGGGAAAAATGTGAAAAGGGTGTGTATTGGTTTTTTCTCATTTGTTTTTGTTATTTTTTTTTATTTTTTTGAGACAGAGTCTTGCTTTGTTGCCCAGGCTAGAGTGAGTGCGGTGGCATCAGCTCACAGCAACCTCAAACTCCTGGGCTTAAGCGATCCTGCTGCCTCAGCCTCCCAAGTAGCTGAGACTACAGGCATGCACCACCATGCCTGGCTAATTTTTTCTATATATTTTTAATTGGCAAATTAATTTCTATTTATAGCAGAGACGGGGTCTCGCTCTTGCTCAGGTTGGTTTCGAACTCCTGACCTTGGGCGATCCGCCCGCCTTGGTGTCCCAGAGTGCTAGGATTCTAGGCGTGAGCCACCGCACCTGGCCTTGTTATTTTTAAGAAGTCACCAGCAACTCAGTGGCTTAAAACAACTCATTGAGTAGCTCGCAGTTCTGTAAGTCAAGTCTGGGCAGGCATGAGGTGGCTGGCTGCGTTCCCTGCTCAGGGTCTCCACGGCTGAAATCAAGATGCCTGTTGGCAATGTTCTCTTGGTTCCTCTTCCAAGCTCACCCAAGTTGTCAGCAGATTCAGTTCCTTGCTGCTATGGGTCCATGGTGGGTCTGAGGTCCTGCTTCCTTGCCAGCTGTCAGCTGTGGGGGGCTGCTATAAGATCTGAGGGGCCACCCCCATCTTTTGCCCTGTGGCTGTCTCCACCAAGGCAACGGAGAATCTCCCTTGTGTTGAATCGCACTCAGACTTTGAATTTTGTAAAGAGCAACACTCTCCCGTTTAAGGCCTCATCTGATTAGATCAGACCCACCCAGTCAGGTGATTCCAGGCCTTAATTCCACCTGCAGCATTCCTTTAGGGCAGCACTTAGATTTAGTGTTTGGGGCATTCTTGGAATTCTAACCACCTCATCATAGTGGGTGTCCCTGGCTGTGTCATTCTCTTTGGAACCTGCAGCCCACAGCCCCACACCAGGCCGGCAGAGGGGATCAAAGCATGCACAGGGTCATATCACCGGGCCTGTCTCACTGCTGTCTCCTCCCAGCCAAGCTGTCTTGTATGTGTTCTCGATGTTGTGTCACCCAAAATTCACATTCACTTGGAACCTCAGATTGGAAACTCGTTTGGAAATAGGGTCTTTGTAGATATAATTAGGTGGAGATGATCCTGAGATGATCCTGGATTAGGATGGACCCTAAATCCAATGACAATTGTCCTTATAAGTAATAGAATAGGAGGAGACAGAGACACAGAGGAGAGGGCCACATGGAGACAGAGGCAGAGACTGGAGTGACATGGCCACAAGCCCAGAAATGCGTGGAGCCACCAGGAGCTGGAAGAGGCAGGAGGGTTCCCTCCCTAGAGCCTTCTGAGGGAGCAGGGCCCCGCCAACTCCTTGACTTTGGACATCTGGCTTCCAGAACCATGAGAGGATAGATTTCTGCCACTTGGAGCTACTCTGTGGTTATGTGTTATGGCAGCCCTCAGAAACTCATATGGTGGACCTCGTGTGCCCCAGTTTCCTCATCTGTAGGATGGGAGCTGTAATAGTATCTTTTAGGGCTGTGCTGAGGAGCTTTGCCCTGTAAACCCACTCCTCCCACTCCTGGCAAGACACTACGAATTATGGCTACAGGGGGTTTTGTAAGATAACAAAGTCAGACAAGGAAGGCAGAGCTGGCTTGGTGGGGTGGACATTCAGCCAGCCTTTACAGCAGAGGACCCTGGCACAGGGTCTTGGGGATGGACAGAAGTGTGTGAGGCAGAGGGAGCTGAGGCATTAATCACAAGTGGAGTGTGCACTGGGGGCCCCAGAAAGTTCTTGATAGCAGTAGCTCGCCCAGTCTCAGTTTCCATGTCTATAAAATGGGGATGCTGAAGTCCATGCAGTGCTGAGGGCAGGAGAGGCGATTAACTTGGGATGGTGATTGGCAAAGGCTGCGCTAATTGCTCCATCTCAGATAAAGTCATGGCAGAGTAGATGTCTGGTAAGGCCCTGCCTACTGGTTCATAGATGTCATCGCCTTCCCACTAGTTCCTCACATGATAGAAGGGTGATGGAAGCAGAGGGCCTCTAAGAACTACAGGAGCCTTTAGGACAGGTGTTTTCAAACTACGGCCCGAGGGCCACATGCCACCCGCCTAGGACATTTATCTGGTCCGCCAGGTGTTTTTGCCGCAGCTACTTGTCCTGCTTAGCAGCTGACTCAACCCAGGCCCACAGTGCACATTCTCCAACAGTCTGAGGGACAGTGAATTGGCCCCGTTTAAAAAGTTTGAGGACCCCTGCTTTAGGATGTGCATAGTGCCTCTACGAAATGTCGGGGTCTTTGGGAACTTCACAGGTCCTCCCGGAACAGCAGGGACCTATAGGTGCTGCACAGGGCCTCCAGGAAATACACAGGCATCGAGGAACTGTAGAGGCTGTTAGGAATTAAACAGGTCCTCCCGGAACTGCAGGGGCCTGTAGGAATTCCAGAGGACATCTAGGAAATGCACAGGCCTCTAAAAGTGTAGAGGGCCTCCAGGAGCTACAGGGGCTCCCAGGAACTTTCCAGAGCCTCCAGAATCTGAAGGGGCCTCTCGAAACTCCACAGGCAGCGAGGAACTACAGGGGCCTCTAGGAACTATACAGGGCCTTGAAGAAATGGAGGACATTCTATCTAGGAACTGCAAAAGACCTCTAGCAACTGCAGGAGCCTCTAAGAACTACATAGGGCCTCTAAGAAATGCCAGGGCCTTCAGGACTGGCAGAGGGCCCATAGGAATTGAGAGGGCCTCTGGGATCTGCAGAACCTCCAAGAGCTTCAGAGGGACACTGAGACATGCAGGGGACCTCTCGGAACTGTACAGGGTCTCTAGGAGCTGCAGAGACACCTAGAGGAATTCTAGAGGGCCTCTAGAAACTGTGGGGGCCTCTAGAGACTCCAGGTGCATCTAGGAACTGTAGGGTCCTCCTGGAACTGCAAAGGCCCTCTAGGAACCACATGGCCATCAAGGAACTTCAGGGCCTTTAGGAACTGCACAAGGCCTTGAAAGGAGGAAGTAGATAGTAAATTCCATTTGAGGGCATGAAGGAGGCTCACAGAGGAGGAGGTGGTCACCCTGGGTCAGATGAAGGATAAGGAATCTATCAAGTGGGGGAGGGCATTCCAAGAAGCAGACTTGTATATGCATAAGCTAGCTATACAGAAAAGCAGAGAATACTTAGGGACTTTTGATGGTTTAGTATGACTGAAGCATTCAGTTAAAGTGTGAGTGGAAAGTAGCAAGAATGGTGTCATAGACTAAAGGGAGCTTACACGTGTAGGGGCAAGGAAAACATTCCCTTTGACGTCTGAAGGTTTGCTGAAAGATAAACTGACAAAAGGCAGATTAATTGAACATTTTTTGAACGTGCACACAGGGAGAACCACAGAGTGTTACCATCCCCCTAATGGGGTGCAGAATCTTATATGCCATCCTGGGGTTACAGGAAGAATGGGGGCTTGGATCTTGGCAAAACAGGTTATGGGATGGGGAAAAGAGGAGGCCTGGCTAGCAAAGGTTACCTTGTTATGTGGCTGAAACTTCACAGGTAGCAGCCCTCAGAGAGAATAGATGGTAAATGATTCTTTCAGACTTCTAAAGGTGTCAGACTTTCACTTAATCTTTCTTAGATCTGGACAAGGGAAGGCCTAGAGACAACCTAGCTGTATCAGTGCAGATTCTCTACAGATGCAAATTTCCCCCACAAAAGGCAGCTCTGCAGGGCGACTTCTGCCCACAGGCCCTCTCAACAGCCATCTCAAAATATGCCAGACACATATATTTTGGGGAAATATTTTTACTTCCTTCACATGCTACTGTCCTCAGCATTCTGTAAACATAAAAGAGAGTCTGGGATGATTGTCCTAAACAACCCTCCAGTACCCCAGGCAGGGCCAGGACAAGAGCGAGGCAAGTGAGAAACTCACCTCAGGTGCAAAATTCAAGGAGAGTGCCAAAATGCTCAGACATCAAGATAAATAATATTTTAATACAAATTTTTAAGTAAAGACAAGATCAGTATTACTGAGTTTTCCTTTTGCCTCAGGATCCAGTATGACTCAGCAAGGTACTTCTTTAAAATTTTGGCACTTGTTCATGGTGGATTTTTTTATTATTAATTTCCATATTTAAAAAAATATTTCATTAAAATGTGCCTTATTTTGATGACTGAGTTTTTGGCACTGTCTAAAACATTTTGCACCCAGGATCAATGCCTCACTCATCTTACCCGAGGCCTGGCTTTGGTCTCACTCAACTTTATCTGTTAGCATGTGTGACAGACACAGTGTGTCACCCTGGCATAAAGGCACAGATAAGGAAGGATATTTCATTGCTGATGGGACTTGGAGAATAAGGGAACAAGAAGAATCAGATTCCATCTAGAAACACAGGGTGGCAGTTCCCCAAGAAATCACAACTAGAACTACCATGTTCCCACTTCTGGGTTATATTCAGAGGAATTGAAAGCAAGATCTCGAAAAGGTATTTGGACACGCATGCTCACTGCAGCACTGTTCATAGTAGCCAAGAGGTGGAAGCAACCCAAGTCTCCATCAGCAGATGAATGGATAAACAAAAAACGGCATGCATATTATAAATACGATGGAATATTATTCAATCTTATAAAAGAAGGACATTCTGTCATATTTAGCAACATGGGTGAATGTTGAGGACATTATGCTAAGTGAAATAAGCCACTCACCAAAAGACAAAATACTGTATGCTTTCACTTATATGAGGTACTGAGAGTAGTCAAAATTATAGACACAGAAAGTTGAATGTTGGTTACCAAGGGCTGAGACAAGAGGAAAATAGGAAGTTGTTCTTTACTGTGGGTATAAATTTTCAGATTTAGAAGATGAGAATGTTCTGGAGATATGTTTCACAACAATCTGAATGTCCCTAACACTACTGAATTGTGCACTTGGTTGAGATGGTAAATATTATGTTTGTTTTACCAAAATAAAAAAAAAATCCATTTTGAGTGTCTGGGTAACTAGACAGAATATACTGGAGGACTGACTTGAGGAATTTCAGTGTATCGGGAGGGAAAACTGTAGCCTTAGTTTTGAACATACTGAGTTGGGGTGCTGAGGGACATCCAAGTACAGATGGGAGGTGCAATAATGCCGTGGCTAAAAGCGTGGATGCCGGAGCCAGCCCGCCATGGTTCAGGCTGGGCTCAGTCACTCACTCTGTGTGAGCTGGGCCACAGTTTCCTCATCCGTAAAATGGGAAAAATAAAAGCACCTACCTCATAGGATTGCTATGAGGATGAACAAGACAATCCTTGTACGGCATGTAATGTCATGCCTGGCCCACAGTAAGAGCTCAGTAACTTTAGCTATTATTAGAATTGTACGCCTGGTAGGCAGTATGGTCTGGAGCTCAGGCTCCAGAGGTTGGAGACCAAATACAGATCTGGTAGTTATTAAATGCATCAAGACATGCCAATCAAGCAGCCAGGTGCAGTGTCTTGAGCATGCAGTCCCAAGTGCTCCGGAGGCTGAGGAGAGAGAATTGCTTGAGCCCAGGAGTCGGAGGCTATAGTGTGCCATGATCGTGCCTATGAACAGCCACTGTGCTCCAGCCTTGGCGACATAGCGACACCTTGTCTCTCTCTCTCTCTTTTTTTTTTTTTTGAGACAGAGTCTCACTCTGTTGCCTGGGCTAGAGTGCTGTGGTGTTAGCCTGGCTCACAGCAACCTCAAACTCCTGGGCTCAAGTGATCCTTCTGCCTCAGCCTCCTGAGTAGCTGGGACAGGCATGCACCACTATGCCCAGCTACATTTTTCTATATATTTTTAGTTGTCCAGTTAATTTATTTCTATTTTTAGTAGAGATGGGGTCTTGCTCTTGCTGGTCTTGAACTCCTGAGCTCAAATGATCCACCCACCTCGGCCTCCTAGAGTGCTAGGATTACAGGTGTGAGCCACCACACCCGGCTAGACACCTTGTCTCTTTAAAAAAAAAAAAAAGATATGCCAATCAAAATCAATTTTGAAATCTGACATTTTCATTAACCCAGGTATCCTTATCACAGATAAATACAGAGTTTGGGGAAATATCAAAAAATAACTGGAAGACACTGACACCAGCCTTTGTGGACACCCAAAAGTCCAGAACAATTGATCTCCCTAACCATTATTCCCATTTGAAGGACAAATGGTAACTTCCCCAAAATAGCTTTCTCTCCTACTTTTTCCAACTGAGTTATAATTTCCAGGGAGAGAGACATGGACACAGAGCTTATAACAGAGTTTAGGTCATGGTGTTTGATAACTCTTGGTTCCACTCAGAGATCAGAGTCATCTCAGCTAAGGTTATGAATTTTCCTATTTCTGAAGTAATCTATAAAGATTTATGCTACAACTTATAAAACCCCATGGAAATAATCTTGGAATAGTCCCATATACATGCATTATAAAAACATAAATATAGTAATAAGAGGGCCATTCTCTCATTCATGTAGTCTTTGTAAAAATCCTTAATGATATAAATAGTGAGAGCAAAGTTTCTCACTGTAAGAGAAAGGGGAAGACCCAAATGAACTCTTATGGTGTTGTGTTGAAACCAGACGTATCAGTGTGAACTCATAGTTTAAAATACACATCCCAACATGCACACACTCACACACACATCCCCACACACAAACCTAGATACATAGAAGTAGAAATAAATACAGATGTGGGGAAGCCTTTTTATGCATGGTGGCAAGAGAAAAATAGCTAACATATAGCTAAAAAATAAAACAAACTGTACAGAAACCTTTTAAATAAAAGACGAGGCACCTGTTAAAAGATTAAAATATTTAGCCAACCTATGTTTTTGTTTAAGACTAGTAAATCACAAGTTTTTTTTTTCTTTTTGGTGACTTTTCTTTTTAATATACAGACTGGAAATAACAAAATGTTATATATCTTTTTTTTCCCCCTTCCCTCAGGCTGCTGTTTCCACAAAGTAGTTTTAACTGTCCTCCATTCTGATTTTAAGCACTTTGATTTACTTAAAAATGGGTTGTTCATAGAAAAAAATGACTTTGAACAGTATGCAGGACTGGTGGAGATAGGGTATTTCATAACATCAGAGTGTACAATCACTCTCTGCCATATGGCTGAGCTCTGTAGACACCTCTTCACTGTCTTGAAGGTGCCCTGTGTCTTCAGTTAGTCCACTCCTTGTGCACGTAGAAATCATGTCTCCTCACTGAGTATCTGTCCATAATCATAGTAATCAGCACTACTTTATGCTGGGGTAGGATAGCTATTACCATAGAAATCATTTCTCTGTTCATTATAAGCAGTTCTATATCCATCACCATAGTCATACTCTCCATAGGTTTGGAGTTGGAGGCCACAGTGGAGGTCTTTCCCAAATTGGAGGACTCCTCTTGCCATGGAAGTGAGATGTCCTTTTCCCCAGTCACTGGCCCTAGGGTGGAAAGGACTCCCTTGAGAGTTGAAGTCCCTCCTATTACACCAGCTCCATCTGGTGAGGATGTGACGCCTGGCTTTCCCCTGGGCAACGCTGGGGTTGGCGCACCTCTTGTATGCAAGGTGTGTTTCCCTCAAACCATCTGAACATCTGCATTTTCCGAATCCCCATTCAAATATGTTATTTCCTCGGGATGTGCTTCCCTGATATCATTATAGCCAGGGATGAAGAACTTTTTGATTTCTTCCAAAGCGTGTCCCATCCGGCATAAGCTTCTGCAGACGTGGCAGACATGTCAATGAGAACATGGTGATTGTCACTGGGGTGGAAGTATTTGGCTTCTCTATTTTTCCTCAACTCTTCTTCCTTTGCTTTCACTCTCATGGGACCTTTTAAAAGGATGGTCATTTTTTATGGTTTCTTCTTGTCAACTCTTCAGAGAATTGCCAAGTGGACCCAAAATATCCCCACAAAGTTGAACGCAGAGAACTGTTTTACAGGAATTAACACATTTGGTCCCGTATCTGTATACTTTTCTCCACACTTGCCTTCTCCTTTTGAGAGGTTTCTATTTCTTGGCCACGGAGCATACATAGAGGACGGGTCCAGGGCATCCTTCTTGCCATCAACGCCAGGCGGCACAGTTCTAGCAGGTGACTTTCCGCTAAGACCACCGGCTGCCAGCAGGGGACGTCTACTCAGGCGTGCAGGCAGGGACAGGCAGGCAGCCCCGACCCCGCCTGGGCCCCAGCAGCGCAGACCCTGCGACCGACCGCACGCAGAAGCAGCGGTGGCCGAGCTGGGAGCGGGACAGGCGGCAGCTTCGGGACAGGCGGCAGCTTCGGCACAGGGGCGGGAACCGGCTGCTCAGCTCGGATCCCCGGTGGCACTGAGCGCCCAGCGCTGGCGGCCCCCGCGCCAAAGAGGAGCCGGCCAGGAGGGCGGCGCAGACAGGCGCCCTCAGCCACGCGCGGGCTCCAGACCCGCAGGCAGCCGGGTGGGAGCGCCCGACGGTGCGCGGGTGCCCGAGCCAACCCCACCTGCACCGGCGCGTGCTGAGAGTGACGGCACGCCGGGCGCTCCCGACCGTTGCAGGCGCGCGCAGGGACGCTGCCGTGCAGGCGCGCGCATGTGTCCTAACGGCTTTGCTCGCCTCAGTTCCGTCTGGGACACTGGAAACTGCGGAGTCTCTGTGGTGGAGCTTGCGGACACAGCGAATCGATTTCACTGCATCGGGCTCTGGGACGGCGAAAGGCCGTCGGGAGCGGGCGAAGGGTCTTCGGGGACTGGGCGAAGGTCTTAGGGAGCTGGGGGAAGGGCGTCGGGGGCGGGGCGAAGGGCCGTCGGGGGCGGGGCGAAGGGCCGTCGGGGGGCGGGTGGGGAGTGGAGGTGTGTGGTAGGTCAAGCGCAGCCCCGCCATGAAGAAGATCTTTGGCCTGGGGAGTCAGCTGGGCGACGCCCCCCGGGGCCTCCTCAGCACCCTGCGGAAGATCCGCGGGGGCAGCGACTCTGAGGTCGACAGAGACAGCATCTTCTCGGAGTCTTCCTACCGCGTCCGAGAGCGCGATCTCAGCAAGATCCACAAAGCCGCCCACCAGGGTGACGCGGAGAAAGTCCACATCCTCTTGCTGAAGAAAAGTGACGTGGACGAGCGGGATAAGAAGAACAGGTGCCGCGGACTTGGAGCCCCGGGCTGGGGCGGGCTGTGGGGGTGTGGGATTCGCGCCCCTTCCTGGGCTCAGCCAGGGGAGCCCGGGCCCTCCTGTCGCCCAGGGTACCCGGCCTCCTTCCCTCCGCGGCTCCTCAGCCTCCGGGGCGTGGGAACGTTGGGCAGGAGCCCCCGGGTCACCTATAGGCAGCAAAGGAAAACAGTAGCTGGTTTCCCATCCACTTACAGTTCCTCTCATAGAGCACATTATTGACATTTTTAAGTGATTTAACTAGCAAAATTGAGTGTATACAGCGTTTCATTATATTTTTATTTCAATAGATTTAGGGGGTAGAAGTGTTTTCTGTTAATGGATGAATTATATAATGCTGAGGTCAGGGCTTTCAGTGTACCTGTCACCACAATATTGTACCCTATACCTGACAGGTAGATTTTTATCTATCATCGCCCTCCCACCCTTCCACCCACTTCTTAGTTTCCAAAGTCCGTTACACCACTTTATGACCATATATGCCCCTTGTTTAGCTCCCAATTGTAAGTGAGAACAGTTCGTATTCATTTTTCCATTCCTGAGATACTTCACTTAAGATAACGGTCTCCAGTTCCATCCACGTTGCTGCAAAAGACATTGTTCCTTCCGTTTTTATGGCTGAGTAGTACTCTGTGGTGTCTATATACACCACATTTTCTTTATCCACTCCTCAGTTGATGGGCACTTAGCTTAATTTCATATATTTGCCATTATGAATTGTGCTGTGATAAACATCTGGGTCCATTGTTTTTGGACTTTTTAATAATGGCCATTCTGATAGGGGTAAGGTGATATCTCACTCTGGTTTTAATTTGCACTTCTCTGATGATTACTGATGATGTTGAGCATTTTATCATGATTTTTGGCCATTTGTCTACCTTCTTTTGAAAAGCTTCTGTTCATGATTTTGCCCACTTTTTAATAACATTGTTTTTCTTGCTGATTTGTTTGAGTTCTTTGTAGATTCTGGATATTAGTCCTTTATCAGATGTATATATAGATTGTGAATATCTTCTCCCATTCTGTAGGTTGTCTATTTGCTCTGTTTCCTTCACTGTACAAAAGCTTATTAATTTAATCAAGCCTTGTTTATTTATTTTTATTGTTGCTGTAATTATCTTTGGAGTCTTAGTCATAAATTCTTTGCCTACGCCAATTTTTATATGAGTTTTTCCTACATTTTCTGATAGAATTTTTATGGTTTTATGCCTTACATTTAACTCTTTTATCTATCTTGAATTAATTTTTGTAAATGGTGAGAGATAGGGGTGCTATTTCATTCTTCTGCATGTGGTTATCCGATTTTCCCAGCACCATTTATTGCATAGGGCTTCTTTTCTCCAGGATATGTTTTGCCCGCTTTGTCAAAGATCAGTTGGTTGTAGGAAGATAGTTTTATATGTGGCTTCTCTGTTCTGTTCCATTGGTCTATGTCTCTATTCTTGTACCACTGAAATGCTGTTTTGGTTACTATAACCTTGTAGTATAGTTTGAAGTTTGGTAATGTGATGCCTCCAGATTTTTTCTTTTTGCTTCAGGTTGCCTTGGCCATTTGGGCTCTGTTTTGGTTCCAAACAAATTGTAGAATTATTTTTCCTAGGTATGTGAAGTATGACATTGTTTTTTTTTTTTTTTTTTTTTTTGAGATAGAGTCTCACTTTGTTGCCCAGGCTAGAGTGAGTGCGGTGGTGTAGCCTTGCTAACAGCAACCTCAAACTCCTGGGCTCAAGCCATCCTTCTGCCTCAGCCTCCTGAGTAGCTGGGACTACAGGCGTGTGCCACCATGCCTGGCTAATTTTTTCTATATATATTAGTTGGCCAATAAATTTCTTTCTATTTATAGTAGAGACAGAGTCTTGCTGTTGCTCAGGTTGGTTTCGAACTCCTGAGCTTAAAGGATCCGCCCGCCTTGGCCTCTCAGAGTGCTAGGATTACAGGTGTGAGCCACTGTGCCCGGCTGACATTGGTTTTTTTGATGGCAGTTGTCTTGAATCTGTAAATTGCTTGGGTTAGTATGGATATTTTAACAATGTTAGTTCTACTGATCCATGTGCATAATACATTTTTCTATTTGTTTCCATTTCCAGAGTGCTGAATTTTGTCAAATACTTTTTCTGCATCTGTTGAGATGATCATATGATCTTTGGTTTTGCTTTTGTTTATGTGGTGAATCACATTTATTTGATTTACATATATTGAACTATCCTTGCATCTCTGGGAGGAAGCCCATTTGGTCATGGTAGACTTTTTTTTTTTTTTTTTTGATGTGCTGTTGAATTCAGTTTGCTAGTAATTTATTGAGGATTTTTGCATCTATATTCATAAGGGATATTGGTCTGTAGATGTTTTTGTTGTTGTTGTGTCCTTTTCAGGCTTCGATATCAAGGTGACACTGGCTTCATAGAATGATTTGGGGAGGAATCCCTCCATGTTGATATTATGGAATAATTTCTATATTATGGATACCAGCTCTTCTTTATAGGTCTGGTAAAATTCTGCTGTGAATCCACCTGTTCTTGGGCATTTATATTATAAGTGAATTTTTTCTTTTTTCTTATCTGTGATTTCTCCAGTGAGTATACATAAAAGCTCTAGCAAAAGTTTATTATTAATGAAATAATCCTTGGGAAGAGCAGGTATATGAATCCTGTAGAAATGAAAGTAATTTTTTGATTTCTATTAATATTTTTATTTTTTGTGGATTGGTATCTTCTGCCAACTTTTAGCCTCTTCAGAAGAAAAGGAAATCTTTTTATCTGTGCTTGTATATTTTATTATATATACATTTTGTTATATATATGTTTTTATTTTACAAAGATTTATTATGTATATAAACAATTATAGATTAATTTATTTTCATTCACTGTGTTCTTATTAAAACAAAAATAACAACTACAAGTGATTATTACTATTGTAAAAATATTGCTTTAATTTATTAGAATTTTCTTTCAAAATATTAAACTCACTAACTGTATTTATCTATTCTTTAAATATATTTATCCATCAAACATAACCTGAATGCCTGCTATGTAGTAGACATACTCTACTACCTTTTAGGACTCTTCCATCCTTAAAACTTTGTCTCCCTGTTCAGCCTGAGCAAATTGAGAGTTTTAAAAATCAAAGTATTAGGAGTTAATCTCAATTGAAGCTTTTCCTCCCTCCTTTCAAACAAAAGCATTTCTGAAGCTATAAGATTATAAAAGATAATCTTTGCCATTTTGAAAATGTATAACAGTCAGATACTAATATTAATCATTGAAAAGATCTGGTTTTCATACATTTGATAAATCTAAATATTAAATAAATGAGCCATACTTATTCATTTGAATCCTGAGTTTTTTTGGCTTAAAGTTTTTTGAAAACCAAAGTAAGAATTATTGAGTTTTTAAAATTTTTATTGTTGTTATTTAATCTCTCTTTTCCCATAGTACTCTTTTTTTTCTAGTCTCTTTTTTAAATTTCAGCATATTATGGGGGTACAAATGTTAAGGTTACATATATTGCCCATGCCCTCCTCCCCCTTTGAGTCAGAGTTTCAAGCATGACCATCCCCCAGATGGTGCACATCTCACTCATTATGTATGTATATACCCATCCCCTCCTCCCCCCTCCCACCTGCCTGACACCCGATAAATGTTATTCTTATATGTCCACTTAGGTGTTGATCAGTTAATAGCAATTTTCTGGGGAGTACATGTGGTGCTTGTTTTTCCATTCTTGAAATACTTCACTTAGTAGAATGGGTTCCAGCTCTATCCATGAAAATATAAGAGTTGCTACATCACCATTGTGTTTCTTTCTTTCTTTTTTTTTTTTTTTTTTTGAGACAGAGTCTCACTTTGTTGCCCAGGCTAGAGTGAGTGCCATGGTGTCAGCCTAGCTCACAGCAGCCTCAATCTCCTGGGCTCGAGCGATCCTACTGCCTCAGCCTCCCGAGTAGCTGGGACTACAGACATGCGCCACCATGCCCGGCTAATGTTTTGTATATATATTTTTTAGTTGGTCAATTAGTTTCTTTCTATTTTTAGTAGAGACGGGGTCTCCCTCAGGCTGGTTTCGAACTCCTGACCTTGAGCAATCCACCCGCCTCGGCCTCCCCCAGTGCTAGGATTACAGGCGTGAAACACCGCACCCAGCCTACCATTGTTTCTTAAAGCTGAATAGTACTCTATGATATACATATATCACATTTTATTAATCCACTCATGTATTGATGGACACTTGGGTTGTTTCCACAACTTTGCAATTGTGAATTGTGCTGCTATAAACATTCGAGTGCAGGTGTCTTTTTTGTAGAGTGTCATTTGTTCTTTTGGGTAGATGCCCAGTAGTGGGATTGCTGTCCCCATAGTACTTTTAAAACCTAAATTTTAGTTAAATGGCAATCTTAGGACTACAACTTTTGTAGAGCTTTACACATCATATTCCACTTAATGTAAGGCACAATGGATCGTGTAATGCTCCATTATCTTATATATCAATAAGAGAATTCCTAAAATGCTGCCAAGTATAGTTGTAGTAAGTCATGAATTACAAGTGACATTCCAATATCTGCAATGTGAAAATATGAGAAAATCAGCATCTGAGAATCATTGATATACAATGTCTCTTAGCATTAAAACATACCACAATTAGGTATAATTTTGTCATTTTACTTAATTAAAATAGTGTCTTTGTTAAGTAGTAGTAACTAATAATTAAAATACCTAACAATTATTGAGTTGTTGTTTGTGCTGGGAATACTTTGCATAGATTCTCATTTCAGTATCACAGTTGTGACCTCTGAGACAGCTACTACTTTTATCCCCCTTTTGTTGTTGAGGAAACGGAGGCACAGAAAGGCTAGGCAATAGCTGAAAAGTGACAGAGCTGAAAGTAGGATCCAACCCCAAGTTGAACTGAATCTGAAGGCCATGGTTTGTCTACTTAAATGGGCTGTTCTTTCATTAATGTAGTGAGTAATAAGAGCTAATAAATATTGTACTTTCTTTATAAGAAAATGAAATAATTGTTCAAGAGCAGAGGAATAACATGCTATTAAATGTTGACAAATAATTGCATGTTTTGAGAGAGTGCACCAAAATTTTCTCAAAGATCCTCTTCCTTTTTTAGGACTGCCCTACATTTGGCCTGTATCCAGGGCCACGCAGATGTAGTCAAGCTCCTGGTGAAGAACAAATGCCAGGTTAACATCGGCGATAGCGAAAATAGGACAGCTCTGATGAAGGTATACATTAGCCGACTATTTCAGCTTGAGCTGGATTTGATTTAAATACAAATAGAGTAAAACTGAATTCGTCTCCTCTAAATATAACTACTTGATGAAACCTGAGGAATGTTTATTTTGAATTCCTAGAAATTACCATCTATTTCTTGGTCTAATACTGACAGGCTGTACAATGCCGGCAAACAGAATGTGCATCTGTTCTGTTAGAAAATGGTGCAGATCCAAATGCTATGGATGACTACGGCAACACTGCCCTCCACTATGCTGTGTATAACGAGCATGTAGAATTAGCAGCAAAACTGCTTTCACGTGGTGCAGATATCGAAGGAATAAACAAGGTATAGATCAAGCAACTTTATTTTCAAAATATGTGAAAGGTATTTGTTTTAATATTCACATATGGAAGGGTCAATACTCCATATTTGGAAGTTTAAGTGTTCCCTATTTTGACATAACTTACTTGTCTTTGATTTAACTTTAAATATTGATAATTTTAAAGTAGCACTAGAGGGCACACCTTTCTTTTATGGACTGATGGTAAATATTTGTGAAAACATTGAATTTGTAAAACTTTTTTCTTTTTGAATATTTTTCCCACTCATTTTTTTTTAATTAGTGTAAAACAACATAAGAAAGCAAAAATTTTCTTGGAAATAGGGTTTGATCTTAAAACTCTACTAAAGCAAATGCATTTTACAGTAAATGAAAATCTTGCTGTTGTTGACAAGTTCCTAATACATACATCTCTATGAGAAAGGGATTTATCTCTTGGTGGCAGTGCTTAAGAGAGAAAGATGGAAAGGAAAAGCAAAGCAATCAGAAATATGCAGGCCAATTTGGAAATTAGGTGATTGAGGGAAAATACCAACATGACATTTATTGTATATGTGTGGTTTTCTTTTTCCTTTTCTTCCAGTTTATGTTTAGAACAGGTGTTCTTCAATTTGGGGGTAATCATTCTCAGTTTGGGAAAGAGAGTGAGTAGTAAGTTGTGTAGACATGAATTTGAGGAGGGAGTAGGTGGTGATAAAGTGAGAAGCAAGAGGGAAGAAGAAATAATTAACTAATTTCTTATCATTCTGGCAGAAAGAGCTACTTAGATAAAAGTCTGAACTGCTCTCAAATCTATAATGTCTTGGGGGGAAGATGAGAGATAAGGATCTTAGAAAAAGGAAAATCAAGTTGCATTTTGAGTTTTCTAGTCCCTGTTCTCCTCCCAGGAAAACTAAATGGAAATTTGAGTAGATGACTCCATATCTTACTCTTTCTTGCCCCCCCTCCCCTAATTAACAAGTAATATAGGGCATTTCCATGTGGATAAGAGATGAGACTGAAGTGATTGCTGCACTAGTTGTCAGCTAGAATTGTGCATCATAGTGACCTGGGGAAATTGAAAAAAAAATACAAGTTTAGGTCTTTGTCAGAATATTTTGATTTATTAAATTTAATAAGATCTGGCCAAGTACATTTAAAAAAATATTTTCTTGAAACCAGGTGTATTGGTATGTGCCCGTATTCCCAGCTCCCAGTAGGCTGAGGTGGAAGGATTGTTTGAGCCTAGGGATTTGAACCTAGCTTGGGCAACATAGCAAGACCTTGCCTCTAACAACAATAACAAAAATTTTCCTTGAGAGTCTACTACATCCGTGGTTAATAATCACTGAATAGATAAATGTACCATATGAATTACCATATCTCAAAAACTTAAGAAAACTCTAGAAGAGTTGGAGTTTAATAGGTGGCACTTCTTTCAGATCTCTCCTGTCCAATAATATCAGCCTGTCTTTTATCTGTCTTTCCTCTACCTCTGTTGGGAAATTAAAGGGAATATTATTGGTAATATCTATCAGCTTACAGAAGAATACCCTTTTCCTTCCAACCATCAATCATTCACTGCCATTCATTTGGTCTTTAGATATTAACTTATGAGTAGTCTCTCAGTAAGTAGAGGTTGGCTCTTTTAGGATTTCCTGTCTCTTTGTTACTCAGGTGACTCGATTAAAAAATGTTTACTCCAAGCAGGGTTTTGTCAATTAAAATAGTAGCAAATCTTGAATAAGTTTTTTAGCTAAAGCTGTATTATGGACTATCTTAGTATGTCTGTTAAGTTCACAGAGCTTTGCCCTACTCAGGATGGCAGTTTTAAGCCCTGAAAGCCATGAATTTAGTAAGAATATGGATAGGAATTTTAAAAACAATTTAGTTTCAGTGGTCCTATGAATTAATCATCTATTTGGTTAACAATCAGGGAAAATTAAATACAAATAGATTGTAAATGAATAAGTGTTAGAATAATTCTTGGTTATTATGAGTCTTAATAGCAAGTTTTATTAAATTTCATGGCTTTTTTGTAAAACATATGATACTGAAGAAAGGAAAGATTTTACATGCAAATACTTGCTTTGTATATAGTAACCATTTGAAAATACATCCACAGCAATTATGAAAACACAAGGGCTATAGTCTAAGTGTAGTCCATAGATAGGTTTAGTTTGCCTCCATAAAGTGGATAATGTACAATTTAGGAGACTCATGCAGAAACCTGGATTTCAGGCTTCTCTTAAAGAATCACATCTGGTCTCCCCTGAGCCCATAGTACTGTTCGGCATGCTGTGCAGAGGTTGCCCTTTTATATGAGGCATAAGTTCTCCAGTTTGCTGCTATGCCCACCTAGGTACTTTACTTGCTCAGATCACCTACTTTGCCTGTGTAAGTATTTCAGCTTACGTCCCCTGTTTTGTGGTATATTTTGATAATGATTTGAAGGTTTTCAAGACAGTTTATAAGTCTTTACAATGGATAGTCTCTATTTTATATAAATCCCTTAGTAATAGGGTTGAGTTGTAAAATTTAAAAGTTGACTTTTTAAGAACTCTTTCTTTCTCTCTCTCTTTCTCTCCTTCCTTCCTTCCTTCCTTCCTTCCTTCTCCTTCCTTCCTTCTCTCCTTCCTTCCTTCCTTCCTTCCTCCCTCCTCCTCCTCCTCCTCTCCCTCACTTTGCCACTCCAGCTAGAGTGCAGTGGCATCATCATAGCTCACTGCAACCTCAAACTCATGGGTTCAAGTGATCCTCTTGCCTCAGCCTCCTGAATAGCTGGGACTACAAGCATGTGCTACCACACCCAGCTAATTTTTTCCAGTACACACAGGGTGTTGCTCTTGCTCAGGCTGGTCTCAAACTCTTATACACAAGGCATCCTCCTGCCTTGACTTAGAGTGCTACTATTATAGGGATGCACCAGGACTCCAAGTCTCTTTTTGTTTATATGAATATACACCATAAATAATCATCTTCCCGGCTGGGATCGGTGGCTCACGCCTGTAATCCTAGCACTCTGGGAGGCCGAGGTGGGCAGATTGCTCGAGGTCAGGAGTTTGAAACCAGCCTGAGCAAGAGCAAGACCCCGTCTCTACTAGAAATAGAAAGAAATTAATTGGCCAACTAATATATATATAGAAAAAATTAGCCGGGCATGGTGGCACATGCCTGTAGTCCCAGCTACTCGGGAGGCTGAGGCAGGAGGATTGCTTGAGCCCAGGAGTTTGAGGTTGCTATGAGCTAGGCTGACGTCACGGCACTGACTGTAGCCTGGGCAACAAAGTGAGACTCTGTCTCAAAAAAAAAAAAAAAAAAAATCATCTTCCTGTTAGAATGCCTATAAGCCCTTTAAGTTCCTCGTGGTTTTAGTTGCATAGGTTATGCATATTGTAGACAATGTTATGTCTTTATCCTCAGCATCATCTCTTGGAAATGCAAGTGATATGTAGTGGTTTTCATTATGCTGTAAATAATCCCTATGGTTCTGTATTAGAATTTTTATTGATAAGACATTTTATTTTTATTTCTGATTTATGTTTTGCCTAAAATAAAAAACAGTTTTATGTAGCAATTAAAATGGAAACCAGAATGAAAATGGCTTTAAAAAGGCAATACATATTAGGGTCCCAGGATTATCATGATAATTTCAAATAAAATTTCATACTGAGCTTTCTAACAGCTAAGATAAAAATCTATCATTTGTAATAAGAGAAAACCCATAGACTATTTAATAATAGGCCATTGAAGTTCATTTCAAGCCTATGTCTTTTAATTCAGACTCCATTTCCTTAGTGACTTATGACTGCTTGGCATTGGGATCTAGTACCCTGACACCACTGATAGAAGAGAATCAAACTAGTTGGTATAATTTGGAAGAAACCTCTCAGAACTGTGTCTCTGAAACTCCAGTTCCTCCAATGCGACTGTTTGCTGCAAAAAGATGTTGTCAAATAGGGATTAGGCAAAGTTCATGAGATTTCTTTGATACTGGCTATATAGTGCACAGTTTTATAATCTTTCTCAACATAGATGATCCCGAAATCTTGCTGAGGGGGTATAGTCCTTAACTTCTGGTAAAGTAACTATTCTTTGGAAGGTATTTTAAGAAACACTGCTCTAGATATAATAAATTATATCATTAATTCAATACAAATACTTAAAGCCTTTACTAATATATATCTTAGGGTTTGGGAATATAGGGATCAAAGATACAGCCTCTGCCCTCAAGAAGCTCCTGGCTTAGATGAGAAACAATGAAATGTTAATAATTACACTACACCGTGAAAAACGCTGTGGCTGAAGCAAAGAGCCTTGGTAGTGGTAAATGTGTGCAGTGGGCTTCAGAGATGGTGGGAGTTAATGTGGAGGGCGAGGAGCGGTGAGTCAAAGGGAAAGAGCAGGGCATGGCGAAGCACAGCGGGTGAGAAGGAAGGGACTGCTTTTTATTTACTTCCTACATTACATGTGAAATTTTATAGGATCTTATATAAGGTTTTCACTTGAGTTGAGGACCATGTAATTTTGTGAATTATAAATTGTTTTCACTGTTTTACAGGAAAAACTCACGCCACTTTTACTTGCTGTACATGAAAACAAAATTCCAATGGTGAAATTTTTATTAAGCAAAAACGCAAATGTAAATGCAGTTGATGGGTTTTCCAGGTACAGTAGTTATTTTTGTTGTTATTGTTGTTTAAACCTGGGTAGTGTTCTAGAGATGGTAATAGTCACTGAAGTCACAACTATTAAATTATTAAGAGGATTAACTTATACTTATTGAGATATAGTTAAAATATCAACACAAACCATCAGTTAGATACAAAAGTCATTATTTGACTGGGCGACATAAAGAACACTATATAGTACGATCCAACTTTACTTAGAATAGTGACCTATGTTTGTCTTTTGTATTCTGATGTTTTTTGTCATATGATCTTGTATTTATAGCTAAGAGAGTTTTATGTTCATTTTGTTAGTTTTGTAATGTAAAGTTCAATTGTTGACTTGAACTTTTAGTTACTTTTTG